CCTGCAATCCTTTGATGACCAAATTAGCTAAATGAGATTGAAATGAGGAGTGATTTATAACAGGCTGTAATGAGAAATGTGTTCAACTGCTTTCCAAACAATTGACAGGGAATAGATTAGTTTTAGCAATGTAGTGATTTAAAAGAATGGAGAAGGGGAAGAATCCCCCTTTGATCTCAGTGAGAGCAAAGTTTCTTTAGACATGACCCAATCCTGACAAATATGCAGCAAAAGGTTCATATAATGGTGCTTTTTTTACCCCTGTCACAACACAAGAGTTAGTTCAAACTAAGTTACTGAGGTTTCTATTAGAAGTCTCATTTCCCATTGCTGCACAGCCTGTGAAATAGGAAACTTCCCCAGATTTCCACAGAATAATGACAGATTATTGTGAACTTGAGTTTATTATACATGGATAAAAAGTACACTCTAACTGTCATGGGAATTGATGTAGATCAGAGCTACTTTCTTCCTGAGCTCTATGAAGACAAATATTTGTGTCCAGATGCCATGCTAACTTACGGCTTAACATTGTGTGCTTATTCTGCACCCCAGACAGCAGAGCTGGAAGCTTTATCATAATGAAACTTCTCACCTAAGTTAAACTACTCCTGTCAGTAAGGCCACCAAATACCCACCTGCGTGTATCTGGGAAGGGAGGTGATGGGCCAGACCCAAAGAGGAGGCAGGTGAGGCTGGGCTGAGCCCTGGGAAAGGGGCACCTGACCAAAACAGGTACAGCACAGCACAGGTATTCAAAGGACACTCCGTCATTTCACCTCCTGCGATCGCAGTCCTGCAGACACTTCTGCCCACGTGCAGGTCCCTGACCATGGTGGGATGAAGTACCTGGAGAACTGGCAGCTTAACTTGCCCCTCCACGGCCTTGCCCGGCTTGCACAACACCTGGCTCTCCCTCTGCAGGTGAAGTAGATGTAAAATGTTACCCTCCAGGTTTGGCATGGTGCAGACTGAATGCAAGCAGATCTGGGTAAAGGAAAATCGGAGCGGTGACTTACCCGGATCAGGGCAGCTTGCCATGAACTTAATGTGGCTGCTCACGTAACCTGGGTAAGCAGCAGACTTCAGAGCTGTACTGTGAAGTACACCCTTTTCGTTACTAGTGGTTCACTTACATTTCACACAAAAAAATCCAGTGTGGAGTAATGGCAAATCACCTACTCGTCTACGGCCCAGGGTTACTTTCCCCCCTCCACCTGCCGGCACTGCTGCGGTGTGGGATGAGTCAGGGATGCCTTCACAGCGGTACGCAGGACAGTAACTGACACGAGCCTCAGCGCTGTTTACAGGATCGCTGCCTCTGACTTCTCCCATGATAGCTGACAGGAAGACCCTTCTCACAATGCTGAGAAGCAAGCATTGATCTGACACTAAGTGCTGACAGGCTGCAAAATATTGAGAGTGGATTTAGCAAGTGCCCCAGATCTTGGCAAATGAGAGTTCACGCTCTCCAATTATTTTCTCCCATTATATTGCCTCATTCTGCTATGTATATTAATTGGCTGTTTTGGTTTGCTATTTAGCAACCCACTTCCTTTTAAGCTAAAGCTCATTCCCCTTAACTGGGTGCTTCCACAGCTTCTGCTCTGCCGAAAGGTTAAACAGATCTCATTATCCATTTCCTGCAGAGACCTAATTTCTACAAAAGGCCTTGGAGCAGGGCAGTATGATTGGCAAGAAAGAGAACAAGATTACAAGAAGCTGTTTTCACACTTAGCCAAACACTGAGAAGCACAAAGACCATTTGCAATGGTGCTCTGCGTGGGCCTCAGCAGCTGGGCAGAACATCAAGGCTCTTGTGATTTGTGATTATTCTCACATCTGTCCCTTTCAGCATGGCATCCTTGAATGACATCCCGCAATGCATCAACACATTCAGTCGCTCAGTATAGAAGACTGTACAAGTCCAACTTTGTCTCCATTTCTCCTCAGTTGTTATACGTTGCTCAGTGCCACCTATCACATGGCAAGGCAGCCCCTGCTGCAGTCCTGACAGCAGGGACCAGGCTAGAAGACGAGGCGATCTCCCCCTCCCCTACCTAGCCTCCTGAGTAAATCCCCCAGGCAGGCCTGGTTCACGTCTTGTGGAGGAAAGGCATGACTACTGCCTGGGGGTGCCATAAGTGTCATTCACAGGGTATCCAGGTCACTGCAGCTGAGCAGTTCAGGGCAACAAGACGCCAACACACAGCCCCGGTCCCCTTCAGAAGCTTGGTCCTCTTTGTGGTCCCAGAGCCCACACAACCCACTGGACTCTGTACAGAGGTGAAGGCAGCTGTGGTTTTCTTTTAAGACCCTGGAAGAGAAGGCTTTTATCAAAAGAGTCCAAAGTCCTGTCTTCCCCTTTTATTTATCCAAGGGTTTATCCCACCACACATCAAGGGTGTCAGGAAAGCAGTTTAATTCTCACTTCTGCCCGAGGGGCTCAAACCTGCGCCAGGGTAGTGCCTCATTTATTCTGGTGAGGCAACACCACCTCACCTAGAGATGGCTTACTTTGCAGTTTAGGGGACAAGAATCACTGTGCCAGCGTGGAAAGGAGCAGGTAGGAAGCTTTTGAGGAATGCTTGCAGAGTTTCTGGATTAGGGGGCTTGAGCATTCCCCTTCCAGAAGTGGGTTCAAGCCACACACTCTAAGCTGGGAGCCACTGGCTAAGGTCCTTGCAAGCTGGTATGGTCTGGTCAAAAGATGCACTCCGTCCTTCAGCTTTCTCAATTGATTTGCTCTAGTAAATCTACAGTTAGTATCCTAGGATGTCTGCCTGTCTTTAAAACACCAGTTCTGCTGACTGAATGACAAGCTTTGGATCAAGCTCTGGACAACAGTCTCCTCTGTCTTTAGTTATTCCGGCTCAAGGTCTTGCTGCCTGTGCAGGTTGCAAAGGACAGAGGGAGCCAGTCAAGCACTGGGACAATGTAAGGAGTCTTCATCCCTAGACTTTCCAAGAGCCCACAGGACACAGCCCTCAGCAACCCCATCTAAATGCAGTGGTCATCCTGCTTTGAGTGCCTCTCCTGCTGTAATCCATAAATCATCAATGCTCTAGAAGACAGGGAAAGGGCAGCTGCAACGTTATTGCTACTCTGCCTCTGCAGAGGCGCCAAGATGGGAAACAGTAAAAAGAGAGAATAATAGAGGTAAAAAAGTATCCAAAGCATTGCCTACTTTTTAACTTAGATTTCAAATTGAAGTTGTCACACCAGCGATACAAGATGGATTGCAGATTCCATCTCCCCTTCCTAGAAGGTCTGATAAACTTTAAATTAAAAAGAAGTTGAAAAGAGTATGGCAGCTGTGTCCGCATCAGCAATTCAGACAGCTTAACAACAGCAGAGCTGGAGGGAGATGTTGAGGACATAACCAATCTACAGAGAGCCTTATTTCAAGGCTAGCTTTGGCCTGCCTCTTTTGACCAAACGTCCTTTGGTGAGCTGCTCCTCTAGCCAGTTTCTTCCAAAACCAAAAAGAACCCAGTCCCCATGCTCAGAGGTCACTCCAAAGCACAATTACATCAGGACAAGCAAAAGATAAGCAAAATAAGCAGGCTTCTATGGCGAGAAAGAGTTGTCCTCTTCCTAGACTGTAAGAACATGCAGGTAAATACAGAAAAGCATCAGGTCTGATAGCATTTTGGATAGTTCAGCGTCAAGAGAAGTGCAGTGGTATGTGCAACAACAATATTCAGTATTTATCACCTTATATCCCACTGCATTTGGCTCACTTGTTCAGTGTTGGCATTTTAGCTATTTTGTCAAAACCACCAAAAAAAAAAAAAAAAAAAGAGACTTAACTGACACTCAAATCACCACTCAGATCTCAAAGAGGAAGATCTCCATCAGGATCTTACAGCTTCACCTGAAGTTTAAGGAACAGTTATTTGTTGTTTGAACTACACAGTGATCTGGCTAAGGAGACAGAGTGCAGGAAACACACTTAGAAGTCACTACGAACCAATACAGAACTAAAATAAAAACTGCTGCTTATTGAGCAGTGCATTCTGTACCATCCACCCACAGAATCCACCAGCAATATAATCAAATGTCCTTGGGGCAGCCTTGTTAGCAAAAGCTCTTGGAGCCTGTTAGCCCAAGAGCAGACAAATTGAAAGTGCAGGTGGACATTAAATCCAACCCAATGTAAGCAAGCAGCTCTGAGTGTCAGCAGATCTATAATTAAGGTGGTATTTCAGTTCATTCTCTTCTAAGGCTCCAATTCTTATTAGCGCACCTAGAAGAAGATGGAAGGCTTAAATACAGAAATACGTCAGCTCCTCAGATACCATTTTCCCTCCCATTTGACAATGGCACTCCTGTAGTATTGCAGCAGACTTCTGATTTTGTGGAGGAAGTCAGCAATTTCGCACTTAAGCGCCACCATCTTGACTTTTCTCTCCTGATCAGCAGGTAAGTGTGGTGTAGGAAGCTCAGGCCCTGCAAAAGGCAAAATACTGCTACTAAATGAAGTGGTGCATGTGAAAGGGAGTTCTGGATTCAGCAGGTCCCAGGAGACACTGGCTGTCACTGAGGCTTCTCTCGAGACGTCTGGGGTCCCAGCTCACGGCCTTGTGCTGGCCCTCCTGCCAGCACCCCTCTGCAAAGAGCCACATGTCACTTTTAGCAGCACCCATGTCACCTCCCCTGGAGCCACAGCTCTCCCGGCTATCCAACACTTACACACAACGGGCTGACAGAAGGCCCAACTAAGTGTTACAACCAATTATGGTTAAGACTAGCTAAGCTATTTAGAGTTAATTCACACAAGTTAAGCTTGTCAAAGCCAGTACACTTAAGCCCACTTCATATTTCAGATTTTTTTAAAGAATTCAGCAATTTACTAAGAAAAAATATACACGAGACCTCTGTTTCTAATTATGGCTATATTTTAAAAACTTTGATTAAGATTTACTCAGGCTTTATAATATAAAACGTCTTTCAGGATCTTAAGTGAAGCTGCAGTAAGTTTGGGTTGTGTTTTTTTTAAAAATAAACTTTTTTAGTTTCTAGAAGTTTCTAGATAAACAGCTGTCTTGAAATACAACCCATCCGGGGCTCAGCAAGATCTTGACAGGCATCTCCAGTGCTCTAGGTGGGAACACTGGCCGCAAGTGTACTGTATCAATCTTCATGCCGACGCAGGAGTTAGTCATCCTCTGAGTCACTCTCCCCTCCGGCTGGGACACACGTCCTGATTGAGGACATGAGCTGGTCCTGGATCTGCTTCCTGGGGTTCTCCTCCAGGTCTGTCTTGATGGCGCCCGACTCCGAAATCTTCCACTCCAACTCTGTGCAGAGCAAAACACATTTACTGCTGGCAAAGGAATAGTGCTTGTGCTACAGCTGTTTGCATCATATACCAAGTTAATCACAGTAAGAAGAGGGAGGGAATAGATCTGCTGAGCGGCAAAAAAAAATTGCAGCAATTCCATTTACACATCTGAATTGTAGGTATTTTTCAGAGATGTACTTTATGAACGCAATTCACCCCTTTCCCACTGCATCACACACTGATTATTAGTTCCTTAGCACAACAGTAAGAGAGACTCCACCATCAGTAGTAGGCCTATTAGTACACAGGCCAGAGCTGGACTGCTTCCCAGAAGCGGTAGAAAGTCATTACACCACAGTCGAAACCTTTCTCCTAGTCTTGCCAGCAACCCTATGATTAAATCTAATTTCCTTCAGATATTACAGAGTAATAAATACATGCTCACACTTTCCTTAATCTCCAGTGGAATTTACCCAGACTTAGGGGAGAAGGAAGGAATAAAAGGAAGTGCAGATTTTCAGTGTCCAGCTTTCTGCGATGACTGAATTAAGCTGGCTCAGTCACCTTTAGACCCTTCCAAAATCAGTTATTTATGCGACAAAAATGGGAGAGAGCTAACTGTAGGCTCTGCTACCACTGTTCACTTCAGTGTCTAACTACACAAGCTCCGTAGTTAGTTAGCTGTTCTCAAATCAGCGTTCTCACTGGTGAGCTTTTCCCCTTCTGACAGTTGAAGGCAGAGGAGGGTTTTGTACACACAAGACCAAAATATCCTGTAAACTTCAGGTTTTAGTAAAAAAAAAAACAAAAAAACCTCTTTGCATTCTATCCCAGTATAGGCAGTGATATCATTCAGCAGGGACCCTGAAGTGCTGCGTAACCGTGGTTCACTTCCGATAAAAAGTGTTGTTAAAGTCTGACCTTGAAAAAGCTTGAAGGCATCTGGACCAACGCCTACTCAGAAAGCTGATGAGTATCCTCCCTTTAACTGAAGTAAAATTCACTAGGTTACAACCCAGTTACATTTACTTTCCAGGAAGAGCCTTCTTCACTGCTGACCTCCATCTTCAAGCATTGCTGCCGGATACCACCCACCTCCAAAGAGCAGCTTTTACTGAAGACCCACAGTGCTCAGCAAGACCTGCATCGCTGCCCTTGTCTCCTGAAGCACATCACGCTGACGAGGCCGCATGACCCAGCCTGCCTCCACGCTGCCGAGATGGGCAAGGAGAAGTAGGTCTAACAGAAAATCATGACCTCCAGGAAAGGTAATTACCTCTCCCCATGGAAGCCTGTGCCCCCAAACCACCGAGGCAGGAACTTAATGTGCTGCCATCTCCAGGAGACGGCAAGAGGGAAAGCAAGCAGCCCAATTTCAGGCCAGCCGCTCCATCTGGGTAAAGAGACAGGGTCTCTTTAAAGGTTAATAAGGAGTGAAGCTCATGTGTCAGGAAGGTACAGAAGACAAATACATGCCATCGGCTTAGAAATGAAACAAGCAGCCCTACAATGCAATAGGCAAGTACCAGTTATCAAGCACATGGATTATTAAGTAACTGGAGGCATGGTCAGTCATTCAGGTAAAAGACGTGGCTACTATCTACCTTTTAATGTCGTCAGGAAAGTTTGTGTCACCTGACAGATGGTCTGAATACTTGCACACACACAAGGTAAACATCTATATGTTAGCCTACTCGGCCACTCACCGCTTGTACAAGCTAGCCTTAATCGCATGTTGCTGAGCCATAAGGGGCAGGGGGGGAAGATCTCATATGATACTAGCGACAGGACAAGAAGAAATGGCCTCAAGTTGCATCAAGGGAGGTTTAGATTGGGTATTAGGAAAGATTTCAAAACCAAAAGAGTGGTAAAGCACTGGAACAGACTGCCCAGGGAAGTGGTGGAGTCACCATCCCTGGAGGTGTTCAAAAAATGTGTAGATGTGGTACTTCAGGACATGGTTTAGCAGGCATGGTGGTGTTGGGTTGACGATTGGGACTTGATGGTCTTAGAGGTCTTTTCCAACCTTAATGATTCTATGGTTAGTATCTCCCTTCTCCTAAGCCTCACTTCTCTCAGTCCTAGCAAAGCAGTTTTGCTTTTCCTTTAGAAGACCGGAGATGCAGACACTCACCGTCCCTGGTCAGGTTCATGCCACCGAACACCAAAGGCCCAATGAACTGAGCTCTGATGTCTCCCTCCAGGTAGACAAATATCGTAGGCAGGTTCTTATCGGGGTAGTTGGGAATGCAGGTGGTAGAGATAGCTTTGATGAATTTCACGTCTCTGAACTTTTTCGCAAGCCCGCTCATATGTTGATTTATTAAGGCACAGAGTGGAATTCTGTGAAGAACAGCAACAAACAGACATAAAGAGAAAATAAAAGACAAAACAGAGAGTAATCTGCTCCAAAAGAAAGATCAGAAATATCAGTTCAATGAGCAGCATTTGTGGAAAGACAAATGTACCAGAAGCAACTTCTGAATACTTTTGTTGTCCAGTATTCTGGCATCCAAAGGAAATCAGTATCACTGGAGGTTTTGGTGGGTTTTTTTGTTTAAGATATTAGCAATACAGCCTCCCCCTCTATCATACAAACTGGTTTATGAAGGTATGATATTTAGCATGAGCAAGGGCAAGATAGAAAGAAAAGCAGCTCCTGGAAGAAAGTATGCAAATGACAATGAACACCTGTGAAACAACTAGAAAGAATGAACAAAATGAAGTATTTCTAACCCTTTACAGAAAATTCTAGCAACTCATCAGACCTTTTTCTCAAGTTTTTCCACCATGCTGACAGGACTGGAAACCTTGTCTTGCTCCATTTCTATGCATCTAGAAAACAGACTACAGACATAGAGAGATCCTTCCGATGCACAGCCCCTCGCACTTTATCCAGAACAATTTCCAAAGCTCAGTATTTCAGTGGCAGCAGCTTCCTGTCTAGGGTAGCTGTATGGTACAAGTCACACTGTGCTATACAGGCATATTAAAAAAAAAAAAAAAGCCACTTCAAGACAGCATCGGTTTAGAGCCAAGTTCAGCAGTCTTAAGTCAACAGTAAGGAAATTACTAAATCGGTATTTTCTTAGAACTTCAGAGTCAGTTCCTTAATTTCCACAATAAGTACACATTTTTCTAGAGTATTTTCAGCTATTGACAGTGAAAGCTTTAAAGGTTAAAAAAAAAAAATCTTACCCTTGTTTGTAGAGGTGCAAGACTACCCATATACCTTTTCCAGCTTTCGTAACCTCTTGAACGTAATCTTTTCCCGAAATCTCCAAAACTTCCCCAAATATATTCTTCATTTGAGCTGCTTTCATTTCTGCTAACCTTCGCTGTCTGAACAGAAAGGAATGAGAACAAGATCTTGAGAACAGATGCATTTTTGACAGGAAAACACTTAAGAGTAGCTGGCTGAAACCTAGACTTCAGAGGCACATTACAAACATCTTCAAACTCCAGAGCAATAAAAGCAAGTTGACATTAGACTATAGATGCTCTTATATTTGCATCACAAGTTAAAACTCTCAATATGCAAGAAGTACAACTATGTTTCACAAATTTTTTTTTTTGGTCATTTCTGCCTTCAGCAGACATTTCTTCTGCAGATACTATACTACCAAACTAAATGGTAAACCACAAAATATACGAAATAGCACAAAAGATGTTAAAGATAAAGAGATAATGGAAAACCAACACTGTCATTATTATCTGCAAGCACCTTAAGCTCATTCATGCAAAAATGGAGAAATCTTGGACGTGACTTTCAAAGCTCTCAGAATCCCCAGCCATGCACTCAGCAGTGTACATTATCTCTGCAAAACTAGGTTGTAGATAAAGGACAATGAATTTAAATCCAGCTATGCTATTAAAGACACTTAGAAGCTCTACAAGAGATCAGAAACACAACTCACTTCTTCAATCATCAGGCCTAACAACATCCTTCCTCTCTTCAACAATATCTAATAGCATATAAAAGAAAAAAAAAAAATCCAATTTTCATGAAAGCCAAGTTCCACATGCTGCTCTGACCTGTACATTTCAATAGCTTTCTCATCTTCCTCATTAAATTCATCTTCATTCTCTTCTAGCTCTTCCAGTGTCATGTCCTCGTAAGTTTTCACTAGAAAGGAAGAAGCATCAAATCAGCACAAACCTTGTTCCAGGATTAAAACTCAGCCTTTATCAGTCCAACAGAATTTATTTAGTTTAAGGACAGATTAACTATGGGAAATACGGCTTTTCTGAGTTACTATTGTTACTGGATTTTTAGAAAATACTACACACTTCAGACATACAGATGGAAAGACAACGATGTAAAGGACTCTGAGCTGAAGGCTGCCTAGACTAGCACACAAGTACCTGAAATGGCTTTCAAGTTCGGCAGCTGCAGCAAAGACGTACCCAACACACACACGAAACACGGCAGGGATGTCTCCACAACAGAGGAAGGAAGAAGCATGTAACAAGTAATGGTCATGAGGTGTTTTTACTTGCACTTTAACATCGCAGACTCCCTTCACACTGTTCTTATTTCAGTTTTTAAACATTTAATTCCGTAAAAAAACAGAGCTGACATCAACACAAAGTCTTCCTGTGCTGGAAGAATCTACGTGTTCAGGAACATATTTGTTTGATAGTGTTAACAGATGAACACCCTACAC